TTATTCCGATTTGATGAGGTTAAGAGGTTCGATGGATCGATCTTTGTGGCAGAGACATGACTTGTCGGAATTATGCGAGGGAAATCTTTTTCTCTCCGCCACTATTTGTCTCTGCCTACCGTCTGTACCATGATGTGTTGTTTTTACTCCGAATTACGTTGCCAGAATGCTTTGCCGGCCGCAGTGACATATACTGTTTGTGACCCATCTTCGAGAAGTAGCCGTGGTTCCGCATGAACTGCTTGCCTATGTACTTACTTACGACGTGTTGTTGACATTGACTAGAATGATAATCCATTGTTAGGCTATGCGAAGACGCCTCTACCTCAAATTGATAGAAGACGCTAGCATATGGAATGTGGTGCCACCGTGATCATTTGTTACTCGCCCACGGTGGTGATAGACTGAACGCATTTGCTATCACGAAGACATTGTGGGTCCACCCAGCACCCGTACGCTGAGTGCTTCACTAGCGTCATCTCCTGTGCATTCGGTCTCCAACTATTGGCTCCTACGCGTTCTCTAGCGATAGTCCCTCCAAAGCATAGTGTATAGTGGCAGTAGCCTCTCGTGTCATAGGCTTCCCAGAGGAGCCTCTTCGTCTGTTCCACTGCTTTGAACTCGATCTTGCCAACCGTTGCGAAGTTAACACATAGTATAATTCTCAACCCTTCACCTTCAGTCTTCACCTCGCACCTAAACAACTATATTCAGGTGAAGAGTTAACTTTGTGTTCCAAAGGTGGAGGGGTATTCCGAGGCAATGACCGCACCGGCTACGGTGTAAAAATTAAGACTTAGTCGATATGAAAGTTGGCTTAATTAGTGCCATTGCCAGTGATATAGTCACAATGTAAATTTATTAGTAATCTTTCGAACGTCTGAGTTATGGTCCGGCTGAAATCACGCTAGCTGTGTGGTACCCGACACATTGATTTGTACTTTTACTAACTGGTTGAGTAAGTTGATGCACGCACTCAGATGGGGCACCACCATGATGAGATTGGGTATTCTGGAAGTAACTCTTTTGCAAGAACTTATATGCAGTGACACAACACTTTCAACAATTGTCGAATTTGGAACGCCCTTACGTCGAGACAACTGCTTTAGTGACCGGTCTAGTACACTAAACGCCTGCCTGCTACACCAAAAAATATCACTTGGAAGCAATACATCCATGGGTTAACATGCTGGTAGTGATCAAGCTCGCTATGAACTGCTGCTGGGGGACGAACGAGGCTGACTTCACTGTAGCTATCAGTATGTTCTTGCTCACGCACTTCTGAATGGCTACACATGGGGCGCAGTCCATAGTCAACATTCCTTCTGTGTTTCTTCAATGTTCCATAAACATTAACATCCTGCCGACCGCGGCAGTATATCAGCACGCTCATGAGAAGGATGACTTCGCCTCACTTCGTACCGTGCCGTACTACTAAAGCCACCCTGTTACGTTTCCAACTCACTTGTTTTCACGCATCTTGCCCATGCGAGCCGTTTGAATCAAACGGGACTCCGTCTCGGTGCGGCGGACGCCTGTTTCACCTATGCGTCACTTATTGCTTATATGGAAATTTTCTATTCCTCGGCCACATTAGTGATGATGATTGATCGGCTAGCGAGTAGCGCTAGTAACTCTTGCACAATATGGGGGGCGTGGAGTATGCCGGCTGACTGCGAACGTTGGTGCGACAGTCCTAAAACATCTATCCGATTTTACTCCACGCCACACAGTCCCGCCTCGAGCCGTGACTGGACAATCCTCTTCGACTAAGACAGTTTGACTAACTCACCTAATGCTTCTCGATCAGCGTGCTACTCTTCTTACGTTTTGGTCGTCGATCCTGAATGAGACAGGTCCCCTTTAGGTTGTGGGTTGCATCTTTGTACCGCCGTCGTCTGCTGTCTCGATGAATATTACATTGCCTAAATATCATTACATCTTTTGCGGATCAAAAACAGAACTCTGGTACATAACGAACGAGTGGAACAGTGTTCCTTTAGCTGGTGTTTCAGCTTCAGATGTGATATTTTCAGACTAGATAACATTATCAGCACCTTTGACGCTGTGAGATGATATCCCTTGGAAACCTACCTGTAAATGCGAAGAAAATTGATTGGATATCGTTAGAGCTTATTTCCACATTTGGTCAATAACCTCTGAATGAGCATAAATCCTAACCAATCGTTTTGAGTTGTGCACATCCGCGTTCTTTGGCCTGCACGTCGTTCAATAGTGCCTTCCATGGTGGCTGGACTGGTCTGTTTACATTCAAATACTGTTAGAAGGTCGCTTGCTGCAGTTGAGTCAGTCGGTTGTCTCAATTTTAGCGGGAATTAAGGATTGCTAATGTGTATGCTGAGTATATTCGTCGCAATCAAACTCAGTCGGATAGCCGCTATACCTACGGAAAAATGATGACGGCCATTTCGTCCAATGGCGGCTCTTCATTATCGCGTATCTGCCGGTTCCTGCGCAATCCGACCTCATCTACTTGCTCGCACTAGCAAACCCTCGGGCTGTGAGTCACGGTGGTTGTTGTGTGGCGCCGCTCAGCTTCCACAGTCATGTATGTTAACGACGTGCAAAAGACGGGGTTGGCCCCCGAGCTACGATTCCCTTTGCTAGGTGTCACCAATCGAGGTGTCGTGTAAGGTGCTATAATGCTTGCTGATTGCTAGAGAGTAGGATTTATTGCTTTTGCAAAGGTTTATCATAGTTGGATTCAGTGCCACACATTCACCGCTTCCTGCTGAATTCGAACACATTGTTTTTCCCTCACAAACCAGCGATTTATGCCACGGAGCCATGATTGACAGTGGTGGACTACCATGACTGATTATTGGCTAGTGTGTGGTGCCGCTCATCTTCCACCTCCATGCACATTACTTCCGTGCAGAGGACAAGGCCGGCACGCAGAAGCATGACTCCACTCGCTACGCTATCAGTTATCTTATGGAATTATAACCTAGCTAGATGTTAAGAAAGAAATCTCAAGGCAAGTAGCCGATCGCCGATACGGAGCCAGAGCATTGCTGGTGAGCCGTCACTCTCCCACATGGATCGGACCAACATCTAGCCCACTGCGTGCACTGGCCAATTAGCACGAGAGTGACAGTATACTTGATTGGTCCTAAGCTGACCCTTCTGGATTTTTCCACGTAAGCTTTATATACCGTTCACAAATGTTCCATTTGGCTTTTGTATTGGACAGTGATCTGTCAATACATCTCGCTTCCTCTCTGATCGTCCGAACCGGTCTTATCTGTTTGCTGTGTGGGGCCAGTGACCTCGTGTTCTGATCAATAGCCAAACGTCAACTCAGACGAGGGACGATCACTTCACTCGGTGAATGCTTCCTAATGTGTTTTCTCGAGATCATCAAGTGAGTAGCGGCTTAGCAAGGGGAACCGTATCCTTTGCAGGCAGTAACTTGCCGTGCAACTGTTTTCATACCCTTGTCCATATTCATTGATTTTGCTTAACTCCGTGCCGTCGGTCCTTCTCGGCTTCCCGGCTGGAGTCCACGTGACTCGCCTTTTGCTTAACTCCTGATTTTACACAATATGGCTCAAGGTCGACACTAGTGACGTGTCTGCTGTCTTCTAATCGGACCGCCTGTTTTAAGTGTGTTTGGTCCTGAGTTATCTGCATGTTAATGGCTAATTAGGAAGCGGGACAGTGAAAGTCGTAAGTAATTTTGCACGGTAGCCAGCTATTTGTGACGGGATGTTGTTGACAAAGTATAGGAGCGTTGACCCTGTGTTTGTTTAAGGCGTTAAGGTTTTCCGCCAGGTCCCTTCTCTCTTATACTTCTTCGCTCCGTAGGTCGTTTTGGTTATACGGCAGCGAAGCATCAGTCTAACTGGCTGCTGCTGCTGATGATGATGAGGAGGAGGAGGAGAAGGATGACTGAGGTTGCGCCGTCTGTTTTCCTCCCTGGGTCTCTTAGTGCTTCCAGCACATCTCCTAGCAGTTATCCCCCATCGCAGCCCACCTAACTCTGTTCATTTTCCTCAGGGTCTTCCAGCTCATCAATCCCATTTTTAACTCTTATTTCGTTTTATTTTCGGTCTTTGATCTCTTGCCCATTTTTGATAGCTGAATTGTGAAGCATACTTACAAGCTACCACTTCAATTCGTGCTGTACCAAACACCTTCTACTTTAAGACGACACTGATCTGGTTTCCACCGATTGACAGACTATGATGCGCTTTCTCATTCAACCTTGTCGACACTGAAGCTGGTCGTGAGATTGTTGGGCTCACGCAGTGCTACTCGTAGACTCCAGTGGCAACCATTGCTTTTAGTGTACGGCCCGCGTTCTGATCCGGTACGTCCATGACCCAAACACCTGTACATCCCCTCTCCTAATCCTACTGAGGCGCCTTAATATTCGCCCGATACTGCATGTCGTCTGTTGCCACTTACGCCGCATCTGTTCACGCCTAGAACTCCTGGAGCTTGCGCGTCTACTACACTATCATCAAGTACCGTTTTAGCTGTTATTCGTTTGCTGCGCTTTCTCTCATTGTTGTCTGTATACATTTAGCCCAATTGCGGAACACGGACTAAGGCAGCACTGCATGTTCGGCACCTTTCCCACTTGGTGTTTTATTCCTTTTTTTACCAGCCGTCTGGCTGAGCAACCTCCGCACCCTTGCGCCTCAAGCATCCGACGCGAAGTAGAATGACGCAGTGCTTATCACTGCTGGTTGTACTGTTCGTCACACTCGGAGATCATCCTGACAACTCTCGACCATCATGAGTTTGCTCCTCTTTTATTCGGTTGCCCCGTCGTTGCACAAGCTCCACCTGGTCCATGTATTACCCAACTAGCCTTTTCCAATCACTTCATTTGTATTCTTGGTGCCGTGTATATGTTGACGTTGCATTGTTATGCCTCCGTACTATCCTTACTATACTTACTTGCATTTTCTCACTTCGTCATTGGGGTACATCAGATTGTAATTGCTTCACACTGTTTTTGTCCTCCCCAGGTCGTCACAAAGGTCTACCTGCCAATGTCTCGTCCTACGCCCCCGTGCCTCAAAACTTGCCTATCATGTCTGGAAACAATAGAGCCAGTTTGAGCCAGCAGGCCTCCGGAGCTGTGACGGCTTATGTGCGTAGCATGACTGCGGCTGCCTCGGGTCTACCAATGGGCCAATCCTCTTTGCCTTCCACTCAGCCCATCCAAATGCTGACGATGCAACAACCCCAACAAATGCAACAGCAGCAACAGTCGATTCAACCCGCGGCTGCGGCTGCTGTCTCCTACTACGAGGCATTTGCAGAAGGAAGGCAACCCCCTAGTTTCACCGCATCCATGCGTCCAGTTGGCGTGTATGTTATGCCTTCCGGTACTCCGACCCAAATACCCGTGGCTTCTTCACAGGCGAACCATAACTTTTTTGCCCAACCAATGAACCCTGACATGTACCTTGTTCAAACAACACACCCCCAACAACAACAACAACAACAACCACCACCAGCACCTCCACACTCTACACCATCTCAACCTCAAGGCCCATATGTTTTGACCACCACTCAGGTACCCCTGCAGCACCAGCAACAGCCACCAACCGCTCCAATGCACCATCCGCACGCGTATCACCCACATGTCTCACACCCGGGCGGCGGCGGCGGTGGTGGCGGGCTTTATCTTCCAACTGGTGGTACACCAGACAATTTCAACCCTCCTCTCCTTTCCTCTGTGCAAATGGCCGGCGCATTTCGCAAATGAGCGCGCACCCACTTTCCCTTTTATTGTCACTGTCCCCGTCTCTCCAATCTGTGTGTATGTGCGCCCGCGACTGATGGTGGCCCGCCACTTCCCATGCAAAACTTGACCTTACACACGTGCCCAGCGACATGAACGCGCCACTCATGCACAACGTAACTTCACGTAGAGAAAGGTGGGGCGCAACGGGATAAAAATTCGCCCGTCTGTGTATATTCTATCTCATAAATTGCTGAAGGTCATCCAACCATCGAATGCAACATAACCCTGTTAATGGGAATAAGAGGGGGAAATGAGGGGAACTATCAATTTCGGGTTGTATACACCCTACAGATAACACGTTATCCGCAAGGCTTATTCCTTGCAGCTTTAATCTCTCCTGCGTCACAATCAACCTTATAGTTGGATAGCAGCGAGTTGCGCGTGACCACTGAAGTTAGTTCACGTATTATGAAATATTGAGCCCTGCTTCTTGCACCGACGACATCTGTAGCGTCAAAGGACCATGTGTTAATGGGCACGGTGAAGGTCATTCTGCTCTGTGGTAGTGAGAATTGGCCCGTTCGGTCTGGGGATCTAAGATGCCTTTAAGTGATATGGAAGCAAAGATAGGTAGCTCAGGTTGTTCACTTTGTGGTCTCAGTGTTCGCTGAGCTCGGCAGGTTGACTGCAAACGTTTCGTCACCACTCGAGGTGACATCGTCATTGCGCACCATTTTGCTAATTACATGCGCACTGACGATGTCACCTCGAGTGGTGACGAAACGTTTGCAGTCAACCTGCCGAGCTCAGCGAACACTGAGACCACCAAATGCCTTGAAGTCTTCGGTTATTGCCTAATACGAACTATTACTGGTATCCGATATCACCAGCGTGTGCGTAATAATCATGTGCTTAGGGGAATGCTAGGCTAATTCCTTAGAATAACAGGCAGCAGCCTTGGCTTGGACACCTTCTACGGATATCTGATCACCACTTCCTTAGGATGGTCTTGTGTAGTCTGTCAGATGTAGGGTGGTGCAAGACCCGAAGTTGGCGTTATACTTTTCTCAGTTACTTTTCTCCATAACGCTTTCAAACTCGGTTTCATCCATACATCTTTCAGAGTCATTGTTGACGCAATCATCCTACGGGCGCGAATGCCCCAATGCGCGCCACTGGTTGAGTACCCAATCCCAAGTTAACCAATAGCATAGCAAACCAGTTTACAACATGGGTTATCAGAGAAGGCTTGGGTGTGTCCCGGATCACGTGCGATTTGGTGGGTGCTTAGTCCTACTCGACACTCATATCCAGGCATGATTGGCTACCATGAAGCTATACGCATACACGGAAGTATACTCGTAAAACTCACGTGGCGCCATCTGCGCCTAGCAGTCACGAATGATCATGGTGATTGGCACGTAACCTTTCAGGCATTTGCATTTCTACATGAAATTTGATTGCGCGGTGTGTCCGCGCACGTCTTCGCTGAGCTGTCCGTATACTACTAGGCATCCACATGACTGTGTCCGAATGAATTTTCTGTTGGAAATAATGACATGAAGTTACTCACACATGTGGAATTTGGGCTAGTGGCACCAGAGGGGCGGTAAGAGCTTGTGGACCGCGATGCGTTTCGGGGTACCGCATGATCCCTGAGCGCAATACTGAATGGTCTGCGCTTGACAGATGTAGCGATTCGAATCACGATGAGTGGGCGTGCGCGCGCTGCGCTTTGGCATCCTCAACGAGATTTCGCCAGCCTATTGCCTTTGTTACGCCGTTGTTCGACTGACCTTGTTCCTGGGGAATATTTCAAATCACTGCCCCGTGATTCCCTTTACAGTTGCTAATACCTGTAAGTGCCTCAGTGCGCCATCCAACCGTACCTCAACATGCTTCGTGTTGTTGCCAAAGAGACCGGATGTGGTAGGGCGTTCCAAGGGCGACACACACATGAACAGAAAAGGGATTTCCGCAACATTCCGGGCGGTTATACTTTTCTACCAGTTTCAAGGAATCATCTCAGCTAGGTCTTATTGCTAACCTGCAGTAAAGAGCGGCGCACGTGATCTGGGTAGCTCAGAACCATGTAAGCAGTAACAGATTGTTAGGTAATCAGCAATACCCGTGTTTCCGCCTCTTTTTTGGCGTATTACGCTTTCCGATAATGTTTAATTGTTCTACGTGCCTTTTGGTTACGTCACGTTCTGACGAGCTGGTATCAATTCTCCTAGTCGGCCCAACGAATGTGGCTCGGAACTGTTTCACGCACGACAAAGTAACCAACGAAATTCGAAGTTAGGCGCAACACCATTACTATGTGCGAGTGGAACGGGCTCCTACACCGGACGCAATTTCACACGCAGCTACCAAAACTTGAGAGAACAAGACAAAAAGACAAGATTCGCGTAGGCACTTTTTCCGGCAGGCTCAAGACGATTACAGCGTAGTCCAGCGTTTCGTTTATACCTCAATGGTGCCAATGGTTTACGTAACCAAACCCGGGAAGCAACTGAATTGACACTATGCAAATACACCAACGGAACATGTTGAGAAGTGAATGTTGGTACATGCGGAGGTTGGACTGGAAACGTGAATGGTTCTTAGGTATAAAAAAGGCTGGATCTTTTGTGATTGCGGTGGTTGGCTGAAAACAGGAATGTTTTCTGAGTTACAAAAGCTAATCGAAACGTGAATGTCTCACTAATTGGAAGGCTAATCGAAACATGTGCGCTTGTCTCAATCGAGTTCATTACCTTCCGTGGTTTAAGCGTGTGATCATTGTGGGGACCTTGAGTCCACATAACATGAGTCTGCTCCAGATCGGTGACATCGTCCTTCAGTTTTCGTTGCCTTGCTTGTTCTACTTGATAGTCCCCAGTTTGTAATGTCATTGCCTTTTGCTCAGAGCAACGTTCGACGGTAGAAAACTGTAGGATTTAGGTTTCGAACCGATAGGAGTAGAAGTTCCGGTATCGCATGCAGAGTATCTTACACTCAGGCAGTTACCCGAGCTACGTGAAGTGAGTCCTTCAGATGCACAGCTGTCGAACGGATTGTGAACTTTTTGACAAAAAAGACCCTTGTCATCATCAATAAATCCTAGTATATCACAAAAATGGAAAATATTCTCGTAAGCACAGGCAAGTCCCTGATACAACACACTACAACAACGACGTATTAGAGAAATAAATCCCATCACGACGCGACTGGACTTTAAGATGATGCGATGGTTCGCGTACCTCCTTGATCTATTGAGCTACGCCGGGTAGCACCTAGGTGCCATCAGGACTAATCAGTCTCGCAATCCTCGGGGGTTGGTGGAGGTCCATGGCTCTCGTCCATCAAAACAGCCATGGGAGACAACAGGTTACGGAGTATGTCACAACTCGAGTGCCACGCATTGTCTCTGATCGTGAGATGACTTGCCGATGTTGGCTTAAAACCTTAGAGTCAAACGAACCAAAATCAAAACGTGATGTCGCACGTCGAAAGTCACTAATCGATATTTACGTGTTTCCGGTTCCGATTGAAAGTGGGGTTCACTGTTGATGTGAGCGTCAGAACAGTAGCTTGAGGATCGCTTCATTGTCATGAAAAAGCTACTTCCTATACCGGAGTCGATGAATATGTTTAAGAATAAGAAGCGAAGGAAGTCGTGCGGTTTGCATCTGATGAGTTTTTAAGCTGAATGGTGGCAAGCAGTTTAGATTGATGAAATGCATTTCAGTCAGATTTTTGTTCGCAGAAGGGCGCATTCAGCCCATGACAGACGTGCACAGTGTATGGTAGCGAGCATTCATGGATAAAATTTTCACCTAATCAGCGCAACAACTGCAGATGAACTTTCAGGATATGTCGTCCTAAGGGGACGTTGCAACAGGGAAAAGTGTGCACGGTGGTTGCGGCAAATGCTTGATGCCAACGACACCGATGTCATTGATAGATGTCTGCTGATATGTGACAGCACAAATGTCATGGCCGCGCATAGCGCATTGCAGTGCATTTGTCAATGCTTTCCTCATCCGTCATGCCGATGATTCTTTACACAACAACTTTTGACAGGTAACGGCGGCACCCAATTCTTGGCACGCCTATTCTGCTCACACAGTACAGTGGTAGCGCACAAAGAAAACCCACGTACGTAGATGCGTAAACGTCTGCATGTTCGTTCACTTAGCATACGTCTTGGGAACCATGGGGCAACTATATGAAAAATTCCCCAGGAGCAGCTCAATCGAACAACATAACAAAGGCAGTAGGCAGGTGAAACCGCAGGCGCTTTATCAAGCACGTCACCGAACAACGCTAAGGATGCCAATATGGAGCACGCGCGCACTCAATCTGATTCGAATCAATTCCTCCGACCTGCAGACTGTACTCGATTTTGCTTGGTAAAGCGTATGGAACACGTGGCGCTACATCACCATTTACATTGATCACTGCATTTCGTGCTGTCCGTGACCTTGTACTCTTGGAAAACTATCGTGAGCCGTCTCATGATTTTTACTTGTGACACGATGCTACCATATTATTTGTGACTCCACATTGTTGGAACATTGATGTGAGTGATCAAGCGAAAATCCCATTCATGCATGCATCCTGTAGACTTTTATGAGGTCGGCAATATAAGGACTTAAAACTTTGTATAAATTTGGTATTGCAAATTTGTACTGTCGACCTATCTACAGACGGCATATAGTCGGTAATTTACTGCATATATATGGATTAGCGGCATTCGGATTTGCCTGTCACTGTGGCCTCCATGGGGACAGCCACAGGACATCTGCGTCTACAGATGGACCATGGATGGCTTGCGCTGCACCACCCAAAGTTCCACCCACACACCCCATATCCGATGTAAACCCGAAGGAATAAGACCGGGAGGCATGTGGATGGGAGCCACAATTCATCAACGGAACCGGCCCACACTCCTTCAAACAAACAGAACAGAAGCATTCTTGTTCAATTGGGAAGCCGTGCACACCAGACGTACACGAGGTGGTGGCTGGACTGTAGCGCGTCCTGCACAGGATGCATGGAACCACTCTTTGAACATTGCACGGTCACGAGGGCGGTGCACCACGCCACCCCCAGCAACGACCAACTGTCTCCTGGAAACAGCAGTCGAGGTGTAGGGTCTTAGACAGCTAGACGCCATGTCAACATTCACATAAGGCACATCCACACCGGGCAGCTCAAACAACATCTACTTCTGAAATGCAAGAATAATCATCACGCAGACATACCTGCCACATACGC